GAAGCAGTTTGAGGCCCCGGCGCTGGCCGAAGGCTTCTCTGAGATCCTGAAGATCCCATTCCGCCTGCAGCTGGAGCCGCCGCTGGAGCGGCTGTACCGCCAGTTCTCCGAGGGCTGAGCCCCGCCGTCGTCCCCGCCCTTCCTTCCCCACACAATAAACGCCGCGCTTCCCGCACGCTTGGCCAGCATCTTGCTGGGAAGGGTGGGCCTCCCGGGGGTAACAGGCCGGGGCCAGGCGGGGCAGGGCCGGCTCTGTGGCTCTGCAGATGGAGGCTCTGGGCGCACCTGACCCAAGGCGCCAGGCCCGCCCAAGCTGACCCTGCCCTGTCCCACCTGGGTCAGTCTGGACGCTTTAGCCCAGGCCCCGGGTCACATCCGGGCCTGCTTGTATCCTAACCACTCGGGCCCTGCATTAGAGCCGCTGCCACCAGTGCCCCATGAGGGCAAATGCTCAGGACGCAGGTTCCCTGCCACTACCTGGGGCCCGGGATGACGTGGGCCTCGACGTGCGTCCAGAGTGAGGCAAACGCAGTCCAGCGGAGGAGACCCGCCACCTGGGTTTACAGCTGCAGGGACTGCAGGGGACAGCACACAACCTCCGACAGACACATGGCTTCTCCCCACCATTCCCTGGTCCTCACAGCAGGGTACAACCCAACCAGGTGACCCGGAAGCCCACACTTTTCTTTCCAGCCTTGTTGAGTGGCGGACCGGACCACCCTCCAGGCCTGCTGTAAATGCGAGTTCCCAGGCCTTTGGGGCTCCACCTCCTGGTACCACAGCTGGGGCAGCAGCTGCGCAGTGAGCAAAGGTAACAGGGAGGCTTTTAAAACACTTTATTGGGGAAACGGGTGGGGCTGTCCTTGGAGACCTCAGGATACGGTCCTCCATGTTGCGGGGCAGTTGTGGTTCCCCAAGGGCCCCTGCATCTGACCTGGGGGCAGGGACAGAGTGGGAGGGGCACAGGGGACTGGGAAGGGCCCTCCCAGGCCAGACCTGGTGGGGCTGCCCCAAGACCCCGGTGCCCTGCCCAGGCCGCCTTGGACCACAGGGTCACCCTGCTCCCAGCCCCCTGGCAGGTCTGAGGGTCCATGTGTAAGCAACTGCCGTGCGGCCACTCACCAGTCTCGCTGGGGCCTCGTCTGTGACTCCTGGAGGGCCCGGCCAGGGTCCTCTACCCGCCCATCTGCAGAGGAAGCCAGGGAAGGGGTTAGCACAGGGTGGGGAAGTGGGGCACGAGGGCACAGGCGGGCCTCACCCCTCGCTGCTGCTGCTCCTGCTCCAGGTTCCGCTGCAGGACCTGCTGCTGGTTAGCTATGACGCGCCGGATGCCGTTGATGAAGCCGCTCTGGTCATGGGGGATGAGGCCAATGAAGATCTTCTTCTCGCAGGAGTAGAGGAGCATGAGCACGCGCACCTCGCAGGGGGCCGTGTGCGGGAAGTGCAGGCAGCCAGCCTGGGGACACAGGAGCTGTCACCCGGGGCCCCCCTGCTGCCACAGCACCCGCCAGGCTAGAGGATGTGGACGCAGGCTGAGAGTGGTGCTGGCTCACACCTGGCAGGGTCACCAGAGTGGCCCAGACAGCGGCAGCCACGAAGACAGAGGCCAGCTCACACCTGATAGTGGACGCTGCCCAGAAGGGTGGGCGGAGGTCTAAGCCCTACCTTTCTGCCAGGGGCAAAGGCGTCAACACTGCAGGCAGCAATGCTGCCAGGAACACAGGTCTCGTGGAGGCCCGGGACTTGGAACAGTGACAGTGACACTGCTAGCCAGGGGCTCCCGATGATGGGCCTCGTGGATCCTGCATAAGAACCACCTCCCACCTTACAAAGGAGAAACTGAGGCAAAGTGCAGGAGGGACTTGGGGGGGCTCCTCAGGGAGCTGCCTGGGAAAGTCACACCCTCAGACCCGCAACCTCACCGGCGCCACCTAGACCAACGGACACAGTGACCTCAGAGCAAGTGTCTCCCAGTGCACTGAGCAGCAGGACACAGGGCAGATGCCAGCGGAAGGCTCTGCAGCACAGAAGGCCAACTGTCCCCGCAGATGGGGTTGGAGGCCCACAGACCGGAGGGGCACCAGGTACTCGAGGCTGGGGGAGCCTTTGAGAGGGGTTGGGCTGGAGCCTGGGTGTCCCAGAGAGAACCCCGGGCATTGGGGTTGGGACAGCCCGCACTCCCTCTCCGAGTCACCTGGACACGCGCACCCCTCCCGCAGGCTGCCCCTCCAGATGGGCTGGTCCTGGACAAGTGGGCTCGCAGGTACAGGAGCCGCCTGCCCCAGGCAGGCACTCGGGCCTCCCCACTGCCGCAAGACTCACAAAGCCGTTGTCCATGATGCGGCACAGGCTCTTCAGTGTCTCCAGGTCCTTGGTGAAGTGGAACTGCACAAGGCGCGAGTTCCGGAAGAGCGGCACCAGCGTGGTCTGCGGGGATGCCAGACGGCACCATGGGCCCCTAGGTCTCCATCCTGTTCCCGGACAGCAGCCAGCAGCCCACTGTCCTACGCTCTGAGAACCTGGGCACTTAGCCCGCCTGCCCTGCCTCACCTCACCCCGAGCCCCAGAGCTGGCCTACGGCCCTGCCAACCTTCCGCCTCCAGGCCACCCTGCCGGCCCTCGGCCACGCACCAGCAGCTGCTGCGGGATGAGCTGCATGTACAGCTTCCTTGGCCACTGCTCAGTCCTCCTGGGGGATAGAGGGCGGTGTCAGCCAGAGCCCTGCTGAGGTGCGGCCTCCGGCCCCAGCCCAGCACTCACAGGATCTCCCCTTGGTTCACATAGACGTGTGATGGCAGCCACCTCTTGGACCGACTGTTGGGCTCAGGCCTGGGCTTTGGGGTACAGGAGAGAGACCTCAGGGACTGGGGACACCATGGGCCACACCCCACAGCCCAGGTGGTGACCTGCTCTGGTCCCCGTCCCCAGGCTGTCCAGGGCTCACCTCCTGCCACTCCATGACTCCACTCCACGCCAGGAACTTGTTGTTGACGACCTGGACGGGGCCCGAGTGGACACCACCAGGTCCCACTGCCTGTGGGAGAGCAGCAGGTGGGCCATGCACCTGCCCACACCCACTTGCTGCCCTGTCCCCAGACAAGTCCCACCCAGCACCCCACTGGCACATCAAGCCCTCGGCCTGCTTCCAGTGAGTGGGCAGCCATGTGCCTGGCACAGTCTGGGATGCAGCACCCCGCCCTCCAGAAGGCAGAACTGTTGGGAGAGAGCTGGACACAGCTGCTCCCTCTTGGGCCAGGCCACACCCAGCCAGCACACCTGCTTGCGGGTGGTGATGACCTGCCGGATGGCGTTGACGAAGCCGCTCTGGTCATAGGGGATGAGGCCCATGAAGATCTTCTTCTTGGACGAGTAGAGGAGCATGAGCACGCGCACCTCGCAGGGGGAGATGTGGGGAAACAGCATGCAGCCGGCCTGCAGGGGACCAGTGGTCAGCACTCCGGCGCTGCTCCCCGCTCACACTGACCCCTGTCCCGCCTGGCACTGAGGCCAATGGACACGGCCCTCAGGGTCAAAACTATGGTCCAGGGCCAGGTGTGGTGGCACACAGCACTCGGGAGCCTGAGACGGGATCGCTGGGCTACAAGATGAGACCCCGTCTCAAAAAAAACACAAGTAAACCAGCAAGACAGTGGCTCTGGTGAGGGCCGTGCAGCTGTGATCCCACCTCAGACCCTGCCCTCCCTGCAGGACCAGAGGGTCCCACCCCCACTCCTGATGCCAGCCCTGCCCCTCTGCATCCAGACAAAGGTGTGTCTCTGCCACCCCAATTTTTGGGGTGCCCCACTCAGTCTGGGCTGGCCACCCCGCAGGTGATCCAGGGTCACCAGCCCTGGCCATAACCAGGCCCCAAGGGAGCAGGGAGCCACCTGGACATAGGGGTCTTGGCACACACAGCATCCTGGGAGGAGACCTAAGCCGAGTCCTCTGGGCACAGTGGGCCAATGACTCTCACCCCATCCCCAGCACCCACCACCTTCCACAGCCCTACCTTTCTCCCCTCTCAAGGGTCAGGGATGCTGCTGAGCCAGAGCAGAGAGGGGACAGCATGGCCCAGGGGCCCGGGTGCTCACTCCTGAGCCACCTTCATCCAAATCCCAAATCCTCTGACAACTTCCTAGCCCATGTTTATTAAGCACTTGTAATGGCTAAAATTACGGGTGCCTTGTTTTTCTATATGTGGTACCAAGGACCTCTGCACTGAGCTACATCCCTGTGTGACAGGGTGTTCCTATATCGCCCAGGCTGGCTCAAACTTGTAATCCTCCTGCCAGGTTGAATTATGCACTTAAAAGTCACAGCTTTACACACTATACACAAACATTCCATCCTCCCAGGAACCACAGCAAGAGGGCCACCTGTAGCTCCATTCACAGATGAGGAAGCAGCTCTAAATGAACTACTCCCTCCTGGCTTGCTCCTTTTCCTGGCCACACCTCTAGCGGGGCCCTCCCAGATGGTCAGTCAGGGTGGCCTGGCACAGATGCAGGGCCTTGGGGCAGTGGTGGGCTGAATTCCTTTCCTCTCGGCCTGCTGAGAAGCCCTCAGATGGACCCTGAGTTAGACAAGCACCGAGACACCCACCATGGGGACAAGGTTCCCAGCCCGCCCACTGGCCTCAGCCCAACTCACAAAGCCGTTGCCCATAACACGACAGAGCCCCTTGAGCGAGTCGCAGTCTCTGTTGGTGAAGTGGAACTGTGCCAGCTGGGAGTTGCGGAACAGGGGGCCCAGCGTGGTCTGGGGGAAAAGGGGACAGCTGGGTCAGGGCCAGGGGTGCTGGGGGTGCAGGCTGGGCAGGGTGGGGCGGATCTCACCAGCAGCTGCTGTGGGATCAGCTGCATGATCAACTTCTGTGGCCACTGGTCCGTCTCCCTGCGGGGAGGAGCAGGTCAGGGGGTCCAGGGGCCGCCTGCCCCCACCCGCCACACAGGACACTCACAGGTTCTCGCCCTGGTTCACATAGGCCTGGCACGGCAGGGTCCGCTTCAGCTTCACTGAGGAGTCAGAGTAGGGTCTGCGCTTCTGTGGGCAAAGGGGCATCACAGGCACAGCCCTGATGCCCAGGCAGCCCCCACAGGGACTCAGCAGACCTACTGCAGACTCACTCACCTCCTGCCACTCCAGGACGCCACTCCAGGCAAGCAGCTTATTGCTGAGCCGGTGCTCGCTGACAGCCAGCCCCCCGAGGGAGAGCCCAGGCGAGGAGGGCCCGATGGGACCCAGGGCCCCGAAGACCCGGGCGCCTTCCTACAGCAGAGAAGGGAGAGGAAAGGGGCTGCAGGACCCTCCAGGGGTGCTGTGCTCACTCCAGAGGGGTCATCCCAGTGTTCAGAGGCCCCTCTGCAAACTCCCTAGGCCCCATCCAAGCCCCTTGTCCTGGTGGTCAACACCGCCCAGTACCCCAGTATCCTTTTCCTACCGCCTCCCAGGACCCTCTCTCTGGCAACACTGCCCCAGTCCTGACAGCCATCAGCCTGTCCCTTCCCCTCCACCTGTGACCATGGGCAGGCAGCACCCCAACATCCTTGTGGCTTCCTGAGTTCCAGACAACTCAGAAGCCAGCGGTCCGGGGGAGTGCGCTGCACCCCAGGACCCTGCACTGTGCACAAACCAGCCCAGGAGAGGTGGCCTCATCGCCGGCAGCCCTGTCCCTCCAACCTTTGTGGGGTGGCTCATGGCCCTCAACAAGTTCAAACTCTCAGCCTCCTTGCTGACCCCAGGGAGGCGGCAACCAGACACACACCAAGAACAGGATAATGGCTACTGTGGCTTTCTTCACAAAAGCCTGCCCAGCTTTCTCTAGGATGCTCTTTTATCTTGTTTTTTCTTCTCTTACTTGGCCAGCTCACTACAAAGCCAGTTTCTCCCTCACCTCACTCTTCATTTTTACTTTTTCAAAGAAACTTTGCCACTGCTCAAAGAAAAAAAAAAAAGAGGACTATCCAGAAGGGGGCGCTATAAACTGCGGGGCCCTCACACACCAACACACTAGTAAAACCCCAGAAGAGCGAAGCAGTAAAGCCCAGCAAGTAGAGGTCCTACTCATAGGGCATACCCTAGCTAGCTTTTTAAAACCAGAGACATCTCAAAGCAAACAAGTGGAGGTTTCAGAAAGAGCCTGGAAGAAATGCACGAAAAATCTCAGCAGTAGGTACCTCCAGACAGAAAAAAATAAAAGCGTAAGGGTGATTACCTTCGTCTTATTACTAGGGAGTATTTCCTAATTTTCTTACAAAGCACACAGAGGTCTTTGTCCCAGAATTGTAACAAGTAGGGAAATTATTTTCTGGGGGCTCAAGAAAACCTGAGTAAGCATGCCTCCACCTGGATAGGAGGGGTGATTGAGGCCGGGGCCCTACGCAATCAGAATGAAAACCCACAAACACGTGTTGTGAGAAAGTTAAGTACGCAGGGCTGGAAAGAGCCTAGGCAGATGCTGAAGCCCAGACTGGCAGCCACACACCCGGGAGGCGGAGCACCTGAGCAAATGCAGCTGCGGCCACTGGGGCCCTCTGGGACACACAATCACGGTGTGCCTGGACCTGCACTGCATGACAGTACACGCGGCACACGGGTATGCATTTACTGCTACGCACACGAGCTGAAATTGAGACCAGGACGGCACGGGGTCCAAAATAAACTCCAGTGAGGCGTGAAGCTCTGGCGTCTGAGACATGATGATCACTTAGGACCAGAGGGTCACATACAGCGCGGAAAACCGGGGGTACTGTCTTGCCGAGGGCAGGTGTGTGCCAAACTGCTGACTTGCTGCTTCCCGCACAGCGATGCGCAGGGAGTACTTGGAGGGAAGTTTAAAGCCATCAGGTGTGTGCTTCAGGGCCTAGGACGCAGCTCTGAACAATCAAATCAGGTGGGATGCGTAGGGCAGGGGCAAGGCAGCAGAGTAAGCTGGTTCGGAGGCGTTCGGAGGCGCTCAGAGGCTGAGCGTGTCGTCTGCCGGAGCCCATGTGGGGCCTGGGCAAGCTGCCTCTGCCGCGGGCAACGTCGGGGCAGTGGACAGGGAAGGCCAGCCTGAGCCTGAGCCTGAGCCTGAGCCGGGGGGGAAATCGCACACCCGGGCAAACGTGTGCAAGGATGGACTGCGTGTGAAACGTCGCGATGTGATTTCACCGCCCCTATTAACCTTTCAGATTTTCCAAATGTACGTGCGTGTCTCCGCTCTAGGGATGCGCGTGCAGCCCGATGGATCTACAAATCTGAACGTTTACTTTCAAGGTGTGGACTCGGCGCATTCCATGAAGGCATCCCACATCTGGGCGCGAGCGCGAATTCTGGGTGCGCACGACACAGGCACCGCCGGGCTCCGGGGAGAACGCCCCTGGGTGCGACGTAACACGGACATCCCACACAGCCGCCGCTGTCCCGCAGCCCCCTCTCCCAATGCCCGACTTCCAGCCCAGAGAAGGGACCAACTTCCCATCT